AAAAAAAAAAAAAAAAAAAAAATCCTATATGTACAACCTCTTCTAATCCTTTTACTTCTACTACCTCACATAATGGGCTGATACTGTAATATCTTGAGTTCTCTAAATTAGCTCTCTTCCCACAGTCCATCACTCACCTTCTGATCTCACTTGACTTTCTGATCTGGAGTCATGCTTAGTCAAAATCAGATCTAACCCAGAGTCTGGGCATTAAATAAACATTTGTTTAATTAAATTAAAGTTCAATAATGTTCACATTAGAATGATCTCTCACTGACTCTATAGTTACCAGTCTATGGCAGACCACTATAGGAACTTTTCTTTACTACAGTACCACCATTTCCAAATTATTAATAAAACAGTGATTTTATACTCAATATACGCTCTAAGAAATGATACTTCACTTGAATTACTAATTCATTACTTGACTGATAAAATATGACATGATCGCATAGATGTCATGATTCCCATTTCTGGGGGAATTTGAGCAACAAATAAACATGAACAGAGTATACATGTTAATCTAAATTATATGTTACAACAAAACATAAATGTTTTACCTAAAACGCCTCCCACGTTGCTGGTTCATTTTTGCTCGAGGAGCCACACCATCAACAGCCATAAAAAACACTTTCCTAGGTTTAATAATGCGAAACAACACCTCCAAGTAGTGAAAAATATCAGTAAAGATTTTATCATCTGAAATTCTGAAGTGAACATCATCATCATTAGGATGAGAACACTGATGTATGATTCCATTCATATCTAGGTACAAGTTGTCAAATTCAGGAATCTAAAAAACAAAGCAAAATGCTCAAGTTCATTAATTAAAATCAACCATAGATATCTTACCAGCTGGAAAAGTGATTATTCAATGATAAAAAGCAGGATGTAGGGCATTCTCATTATATAAAAACTGAATAATTCACAGGTGAATACTGAGACTAAAGGAAAAAAACACAGGAGGACCTGGTAATACAGAGACATATTTCATGGTTATATAATGCACTGCAGGCTTAATCACATTTATTGTCAGGAAATCACCTTACTTGTTCAAAATAAGACATGCAGGAAAATGCCAAATGAATTGCTTGGTTCATCTGGTATTCAAAATACTAGTTTTCTTCTTTTCTACTAACTTCTTAAAACCTCAATTTCCTCTATAAATGAGTAACACAATGTCCATTTTATAACAAATCACTATTTTTACATGGTTATTTAAGGGTTTTTACATATGAGTTAAACCTTATTGTATGATTGTTTCATTGAAACAATATACAATAATTGGTTACATTAATTTCTTTCTTTTTTTTTTTTTTTATAGACAGAGTCTTTGTGTTTATTGCCCTCAGTAGAGTGCTGCGGTGTCATAGCTCACAGCAACCGCCAACTCCTGGGCTTAGGTGATTCTCTTGCCTCAGCCTCCCGAATACTTGGGACTACAGGCTAGTCTGTCACAATGCCTGGCTATTTTTTTGTTGCAGTTTGGTCAGGGCTGGGTTCGAACTTGCCACCCTAAGTATAGGGGGCCAGTGTCCTACTCACTGAGCCACAGGTGCCACCCGGTTACATTAATTTTAAAAAGCTTAGATTATACTAAGAAATTTGGGAAACCATGAAACCTAGAAAACTGATTTGTTTGTGATATGTGGATTAAATACTTTCTAAGCTTTGACAAAAAAGACCCAACAGCTCTATCCACTAACAAAGAACTGAAATGGGCATAACTAAATAGTTAAGATACCGATTATAATAAAAAATTTTAGAACACAGTCTGCTTTACATACTTAGAGTTTTCAAACATAAAAACATGATGGGCTTTCTCACATAAAATAATGAAAACTACATCTGAAACAGTAATTCAAGTTTTACAACATATTCATAAAAAAACACACTTTTCTATTATTGAGAAAATGCCATGCCTTTGAATTTTGGGAGTAGAAAGTTTTAATCTTTTAATCATGACACCATAAAAATACCCATCTGTATGACATATCACATAAAGAAAGTTAAATGGGACGGCACCTGTGGCTCAAAGGAGTAGAGCACCAGCCCCATATGCTGGGTTCAAACCTAGCCCTGGACAAAAACTGCAAAAAAAAAAAAGTTAAATGTACCTTTTGAGTAATAGGCTCAAAGGAAATGACAACTATTATTATGAGATTTTTAAAAGTACATTCAAGAGTTATCATTTGTTTCAAGAAATCTGAACACATCAAAATCTTAAATATGTGGTAATAGCCAAGAAGAGTATTAAAAACTTGCTCAAGATGAATTAAAGTTATAAAATAGACAGTCTGATACTCTAGAATAGTCCAAGTATATATGGAAATTTAGTATATAAGAAACATTTCAGGGTAGGCCCAGTGGATTGCTCCTATAATACTGCAGTCTGGGAGTCTGAGGTGGGTGCATCACTAAGCTTAGGAGTTGGAGATATGCCTGGAAGTAAGAGCGAGATCCCTTCTCTACTAAAATTAGAAAAACCAGCCCAGCTCGGTGCCTGTAGCTCAAGCAGCCAAGGCGCCAGCCACATACACCAGAGCTGGCGTGTTCAAATACAGCCCAGGCCTGCCAAACAACAATGACAACTACAACCAAAAAATAGCCGGGAGTTCTGACAGGTGCCTGTAGTCCTAGCTACTTGGGAGGCTGAGGCAACAGAATTGCTTAAGCCCAGGAATTGGAGGTTGCTGTGAGCTGTGATGCCATAGCACTCTACCCAGGGCAATAGCTGAAAGCTCTGTCTCAAAAAAAAAAAAAAAAAAAAAAAAGAAGAGAAAAATTAGCCAGGCATTGTGGTGGATGCCTACAGTCCCACCTACTCAGGAAGCTGTGTAAGAGGATCACTTGAGTCCAAGAATTTGAGGTCGCAGTGGCTCCACCACCCTCTACCCTGAGCAACAGAGACTTTTGTCCCAAAGGAAAAAAAAAAGAAAAAGCATTTTAAATCAGTAAAAGAAAGGAATGGGGTACCTACCCAATCATCTAGAAATAAAAGTCCATCTTACCTTGTAACAAAATAAATTCCAGAAGGATTAAAATTTTTACTGTAAGAAATGTAACTAATAAAAAAAAATACATATAAATATTTTGATACTCAGGGTGGGGAAATAAAGCAAACAAATGGTGGATTTGGCTAGCCAAAAATGCATTATTGGCTCAGCACCCGTGACTCAATGGTCAGGCCGCCAGCCACATGTACTGGGGCTGGTGTGTTCAAACCTGGCTAGGGCCTGCTAAACAACTATGACAACAATAACAACAACAACAAAATAGCCGAGTGTTGTGGCAGGCACCCGTAGTCCCAGCTACTTGAGAGGCTGAGGCAAGAGAATCGCCTCCAAGAAGCGTCCTCCTCAAGCACTCAAAGAGATCCGAAAATTTGCCATGAAAAGAGATGGGGACTACTCCATATGTGCGTTTGATACCAGGCTCAACAAAGCTGTCTGACCCAAAGGCATAAAGGAATGTCCCATATCATATCCCCGCAGTTGTCCCAGAAAATGGGACAGAAGATGAAGATTCACTAAACAAGCTCTATACTTTGGCTAGCTATGTACTAGCCAAAGTTTTGTTACTACTTTCAAAAATCTACAGACTTTCAAAGTGAATGAGAACTGGTGATTGTCAGATACACTAAAAAAGTTATAACCAAAAAAAAAAAAGGAAGAAAAAAGAAAATTGATAATGGTATATGCATTCAACAGAGTACGACACAGCAATTATAATTATAATATATATTCGTGTCAGGCATGGAATGATGTGGTAAATGATAACAGCAGGGTATAAGACAACAGGTATATTATTCTGTTTACAGAAAGTATTTATTTACTTGTATATCTACGAATAGAGAGGAAGTATACAGAAACAAGACGTTACCGGTGGTTAACCCTGAATAATGAAATTTCAGGTGCTTTTTATTTTCCTCTAGACCTGTGGTTCTCAACCTTCCTAATGCCATGACCCTTTAATACAGTTCCTCGTTTTGTGGTGACTCCAACCATAAAATTATTTTCACGGCTACTTCATAACTGTAATTTTGCTACTGCTATAAATATCTGATATGCAGGATGTATTTAGGCAACCCCTCTAAAAGGGTTGTTCAACCCCCAAAGGGGTTGCGATCCGCACATTGAGAACTGCTGCTCTAGACTATAATAGTTTTTATGTTCCTGTATTATCTAAATTTTTTATAATGAACACAGTATTTTTTATAATCTAAAAAACCCTACTATAATTTTCCTTTTTAAAAAAGGATTATTTTAAAAATTCTCTTATGTGCTGGGCATGGTGGCTCACGCCTATAATCCTAGCACTCTGGGAGGCTGACGCAGGTGGACTGCCTAAGCTCAGGAGTTTGAGACCAGACTGAGGCAGAGCGAAACCCGTCTCTAAAAATAGCCAGGTGTTGTGGCAGGTGCCTATAGCCCCAGCTACTTGGGAGGCTGAGGCAAGAGAATCACTTGAGCCCAAGAGTTTCAGGTTGCTATGAGCTATGATGCCACAGCACTCTACTTAGGGCCACAAAGTGAGACTTTGTCTCAAAAAACAAAAAGAAAATTCTCTTAGATTTCAGATTAGTATGACACCAGAATGATTAAGTTATCATTGGCCAATGAGGAAAAGAAAGGGAAAACAGGCAGTACAATTTTAGTACTGGCTCAGCGCCCATAGCTCTGTGGCTAGAGTGCTGGCCACATACATGGTGGCTGGTGGATTTGAACCCAGCCTGGGCCAACTAAAACAACAATGACAACTGCAACAACAACAACAACAGCCAGGAATTGTGGAGAGCATTTGTAGTCCCAGCTTAAACCCAACAGTTTGAGGTTGCTGTAAGCTGTGATGCCACAGCACTCTACCAAGAGTGACAAAGAGTGACAAAGTGAGACTCTGTCTCAAAAAAAAAAAAAAAAAGAAGAAGAATTTTAGTACTATACAAGGAGATAATATGGATGATGTAGTTTTTCTTCCTTGGTTGTTATATCTTCAAGTTAGAAATATTAAAGGTATTTTATGGGTGGCACCTGTGGGTCAGTGAGTAGGGCGCTGGCCCCATATACTGAGGGTGGAGGGTTCAAACCCAACCCTGGCTGAACTGCAACAAAAAAATAGCTAGGCATTGTGGTGGGCACCTGTAGTCCCAGCTACTCAGGAGGCTGAGGCAAAAGAATCACCTAAGCCCAGGAGTTAGAGGTTGCTGTGAGCAGTATGACGCCACAGCACTCTATCGAGGGCGGAAAAGGGAGACTCTGTCTCTACAAAAAAATTTTTTAAAAAAAGCTATTTTAATTATATTCTCTTTTTCTCCCAATCCCATATCTAATTAGTCAATGAGCTATATTCTTTTTTAACTTAACATCTAGAATGTTTCCAGAATCTTATCATGATATCCATTCCCACTGTCTTAATCTCATTTTTTTTTTCATTCCTACATCTCATGCACTGGTTCATGCCCTCAGATTTCCAACTGACTTCTTGCTTATAGTTTTCTCTCTCCCCAAAGCTTAGTCATTTTTCTAAAACATAAACTGATTATATTACTTTCTTACTTAAGCCCATAGGATACTACAAACCCATATCATAAAAGGTTCTCCGTGATTTGGCTGCCATCTTTCTTACCAATCCCATATTCTCTTCTGTTTCTATATGTATCATATAAGCAAACTACAGTAAATTGGCAATACTTGGAAAGCTCTAAATGTGTTGGCCTGCTTCAAACCTCCAGGACTGACTTTACAGATGTTGTCTCTATTTCTTGAAATGCTTTCCTCTCCTTCCTGGTCCTCCTCCATTTACCTGGATTTTGACTCATCATTCTTTAAGATCTACCTCAAGCATCTTTGGCTGGCTGTCTCTTACTTGTTTATACTGTAAGGATATTGCATATACCACTCTTAGCTTAATAAAGCAATTAAACATCTGAATGTTAGCTTTTGCTATTTCTGATTTACAAATTTGTCTTAAGATTTATTAGAATGGCTGGGCTCGGTGGTTCACCACCTGTAATCCTAGCACTCTGGAGGCCTAAGTGGGTAGATTCCTTGAGCTCAGGAGTTCAAGACCAAGAACTAAGCAAGAAAGAGACCCTACCTCTACTAAAAAAAGAAAAAATATATATATGTATATGTATGTGTATATATATATATCAATCACCTTGAAGGTAGGAACCATATCTCATCTTTGCGCTCTCAATGCATACAAGTGCATTATATTATTAGGTGTTTAATACATTTCATTTTTGTTGAATGGTTAAGTTATGTGTCTGCCCTCCCCTGCTAACCTGTGAGTCCCCCAAAGCAAGGTCTCTGACTTGGTTGTTTAGAACCTTTAGCACATTGCCTGACACAAAGTAGCAGATCAAAAGTACTTAATGAATAAATTAAGAAATGAAGTCCTGGCTCAGAGCCTGTGGCTCAAGTGGCTAAGTCACCAGCCACACACACCTAAGCTGGCAGGTTCGAATCCAGCCTGGGCCTGCCAAACAACAATAACGGCTGCAAACAAACAAACAAAAAAAAATAGCCAGGCATTGTGGCAGGCGCCTGTAGTCCCAGCTACTTGGGAGGCTGAGGCAAGAGAATCGCTTGAGCCCAGGAGTTGGAGGTTGCTGTGAGTTGTGATGCCACAGCACTCTACCCAGGGTGACAGCTTGAGGCTCTGTCTCAAAAAGAAAAAAAAAAGAAATGAAGTCCTCCCTTCATTAAATGTGATAGCACATGCATCTTATACCAATGACTTGGAATATGTTCTTATACTGCTTTAAATTGTGGTTAAGTGTTTATATCTTAGTATCTAATCTCAAAATATCAGTTTCTTTTTTTTAGTTTAACTTTGTACCCCACTTGGTGTTGTTTCAAGATGATTTTCACATAAAAGACAAGGAATATATATTTGACCAATTAAAAGAGTGGTCAATAATTCTCCTTTTCCACTTCTTTAATACTATTTAAATAATCTCAAGGTTTTGATTCCTCATTAAAGATACTGTATTTTATACCATACCAATGTACCATGTATATTTTAAGAGATGAGGTATGACAATTCAGTTCATGAATTTATCCTAGAAAAGTGATACATACTTTATTGCTGAATATCACTCCGGTCACCTTCAAAGTACTCCGCTTGGCCATCTGGTGACTGTGATGATATTCAGCAATGAGGATGCAGCACTTCTAGAAAAAGCTGACAAAATTAACTGTCAGACCTCATATGACAACAGTTTTGATAGCTATTCCAGAAAAAAAGTTCCAAATTTGCTTTGACGGATGGACTCTACACTGGCATCAGTGCATAGCTTCCCATAGGAAGACTTCTTTTTGCTCCTCTGCAGTGTCCGATACAATGAAAAGTATGCATAGACCTTTTTCTAATCAGCTTTCATTAGTTTTTGTGTATTTAACAAACACTAATGAAAGGCCCAGACAACTCTTATTCATCCAATGTGCAGCAGAAATGAAAAAGGTTGGAAACCCCTGCTAGAACATGCATTACCAACCTTAACTATATGGCTCCTAAGTGGGCCAAAATTATATGAGGTGGCAGCAGGAATTACATAACAAAGTACGAACTGTACATAGATAGATGGTATATCTGAAGTATTAATTAAAATTCCATGAGGGGGAGTAAATAGGAATAAAATAAATCTAAAGCAGTAATGAAGGGAAAAAAAACCCATTGCTCAAAACAAATTCTATTAAAATTCAGCTCCAACACTTTACTAGCTACATAATGAATTCTGGAAAAATCTTTTGTGACTCAGTTTTCTCAGCTACAAAACAGAGCTTAGATTGCTATGATTAAATAAATGAATACATGTAAAGCACCTAAAACAGAGACATGCAAACAAAAAATGCTTAACAAATCTTAGCTATTATTATTATTTTTAAGAGACAGAGTCTCTTTTTGTTGCCCTTGGTCTCTCTGTGCCATGGTGTCACAGCTCACAGCAACTTTCAACTCCTGGGCTTAGGTGATTCTCTTGCCTCAGCTTCCCGAGAAGCTGTATTCTCAGCACTTTGGAAGACTGAGGTGGGAGGATCACTTGAGGCCAGGAGTACTAAAACTAGCCTTAGCAACATAGCAAAACCCCATTTCTTTTTCTTTCTTTCTTTTTTTTTTTTTTGAGACAGGAGCCTCAAGCTGTCCCCCTGGGTAGAGTGCTATGGCATCACAGTTCACAGCAACCTCCAACTCCTGGGCTCAAGCCAGTCTCCTGCCTCAGCCTCCCGAGTAGCTGGGACCACAGGCGCCTGCCACAACACTCAGCTATTTTTTGGTTGCAGCAGTCATTGTTGTTTGGTGGGCCTGGGCTGGATTTGAACCCACCACCTTGGGTGTACATGGCTGGCGCCTTAGCTATTTGAGCTACAGGGGCCGAGCCGAAACCCCTTTTCTTAAAAAATAAATAAATAAATAAAAGAAAATTGGCTTAGTATTGTGGCATGCATCTGTAGTCTCATCTGAGAGGCTGAAGTGGGAGGACTGCTTGAGCCCCAGAGTTTGAGGGTGGAGTAAACTATGACGGTGCCATTGCCTTCCAGCCTGGGTCACAAAGCAAGACTTCCTCCTTTTTTTTTTTTTTTAATTGCTATCTAGTTTCTCTTTCTGTTTTTATGTGAGGATTCAGAGAGTCCAAAAAAAAAACTACACTGGTTTCCTAGAATCAAACCCTCTCAATTCCTTTTTCCAGGATTAGCTTTTGAATTACTGTGACTTTTTAAAGTATGACCATCTTTAAGTTCTGCTTGAGAGAGAAGCTAATAAATAGACTTTTTGTTTCTTTTTAATCAAACAGTTTTGAAAGACATCACTTTGATGAGCCAAGTTTTAAAATTTATTTACAGTGGAATTTAAAAATAATCCTAGTCCTTGTTTCCAACCATAGTAGAGCTTTCACAAAACCTAACCTTTGTATCCATGTCAGAAAGTTGCCTTAAAGAGATTATTTTTGTTCTTCAGTAACAAAATTCCTCAGGATGGAGAGAATCCAAGATATTTTCACCAAACCAAACTCTGCGCCAAAAAGTACAGACTAAAAATATTATTTAACAAATTATATACTATTAACATTCTGAATAACAATCACATTATTTTTGAAGTTTAGAGATAAAATGACTGATGTATGGCAGACACTCATGTTTGATAAATGAGGAAATGCCAAAGTTAGCTGTCTCCATTTCTGCAAACCATAGTATCCTTTTTAATTCTCTTCTCTGGAAAAAGTCTCCCTAAATTTACCTATGTTTCAAATAAATTAAAGGTAAGCCAGCATTGGGCGGCGCCTGTGGCTCAAAGGAGTAGGGCGCCGGCCCCATACACTGGAGGTGGTGGGTTCAAACCCAGCCCTGGCCAAAAACTGCAAAGAAAAAAAAAAAAGTAAGTGAGCACTTAGGAATTTTTCGTGAGCTTTTTCTAATACCTAACGGGAATTCAACAACCAAGAATCCTTTCCGGAAGTTTACCTACCTTCATTCTTGTAAGTACTTTTTACAAAGATTAAACCATAACTTAATAGAATGATGGTGTCCACCAGATTATTTTCCCCCACTGTTAGTAAAATGCTACCCATCACAACTAATTCAACCAGCCAGACAAATTTCAGGACTGATTTTTTACCTCCATAGAACATAAACCACAAAGAGATCTATCAAATGTGACGATGCTAAAGTATCACCCAAAGTGGTCTAGTTTACTTAACAGACGACTACTTTCTCTTTTCTTTACACAGTTCCAATATACAAACCTACGTTTGGGAAACTACATCCAAACGTTGCCCTGGGATCATTATATGCCAAATATTATTAGTAGTATTAAATGTTCTAATCATCCATTTCTCTCTCAAACCACCCCCCAACACGCACCCCAAGCGCCCCCCTCGCCCTAAGTGCTTTCTGTTTGTTTTGGTGATAGGGGATAGGCACTGTCTTTGAGATAACAGAGAATGTGTAACAAAAGACATCATAACTATGAGTCAGTGGTCACGTCAAAAAGTCCAGGCGCTGGGGATGGGGTGGGGTGCAGCTCTAGATAAGGGAAAGTAAACAGAGCGATTCAACCGCGGAGGCGGCGGTGGTCCGTACGTGGGTCTGTGGCTTTGGAGGGAGAACTCCAAGGAAATACGCTCCATCCTCGCAACATCGTTACGAAAAAGGCAACTATCGGCTCCCCGGCAAGGAAAGGAGAGAGCTCGCTCAAAGCGCTCGCGGAAGGCCCTGCCGCGGCAGGAGAGCTGTCACACCTGCCGCCAACCCCGCGGCTCCGTCCACGGAAACAACACCTGCGTCTTTGCCAACATTCAGCCCCTCAAGCGACCTCAAACCACCTGTCCCTTTCCCTTTTCCACAACTCTGGCAACGACCCATAGAAAGAGGAGGCTGGAAAGCTCAAGCCCCAGGATGGAGAAAGGGCCGCGGAGCCCCAGGTTCTCGGCCTTCAGAGCAAGGCCGCTGCCCCTCGCTCACCCACCTGATGCTCTTTCACCACTTCGCTGAGGCAGGGATATCTCTCTGAGATCCATCGGTAAAACTTGGGGACTCCCATTTCGACGGTCAACTCCAATTCCACTCAGGGACAAACCGAAACCAAACGCCCCGCCGGGGCCTACGCCGCCGCCTCCGGTCGTCGCTCTGCCGATGACAACACTCCGCCCGCCTGACCATAGAGCGGGCCTCCGGCCTAGAGCGGCAGCTGCAGAGGCCGCATCCGGGGGCGGGGCCGCGTGGGCAAGGGGAGTGGGGGGCTCGGCTGGAAGATGCCGCACAGCGCTGATGCTAAGTGAGTTTACAAGTGCAGTGATAACGCACGAGACTATGGGAAGGGTCCTGAACACTGATTTTTATCTTGGCTGCTTCTTTTTCCTGGAACTGGTAATCTCAGCATTTTTTTTTTTTTGCAGTTTTTTTGGCCAGGGCCGGGCTTGAACCCGCCACCCCTGGTATATGGGGCCGGCGCCCTACTCCTTGAGCCACAAACGCCGCCCCAATGTCAGAATTTTTTAACACATATTTGGAAAGGTCTCGCAGTTTATATCTACAGAAAATTTTCTTTTAAAAACGTTCTTTTCCAAATTGTTTCTGGAAAAATACCCTTCTGCGTGCGCCGATGCCCTTAAATGTTAACATTACGCCCTACAAGGTCATGATGTTTCATGCCTAATGGGGTTATCCTGTTTTTCCCCACAAGTGAATTATCTTTACTTTAAGTTTAAGAGTTTTACGTTTATTTGAATGTCATAACTCCATTATTTTGAAATTGTTTTCCTTTCTTTTAAATCTTCTGCAAGAAAACATGTGTAAAGAACTTAAAAACATTTAACTATTTTAGATTTTAAAATCTCTTGGAATTTTAAGTATTGCTGTCTTCCATGACCCTGGATTCTGCATTCTGGTGTATCTACACTATGACAACGTCTTGAAAATTACAGAATCTTTTCATTTTTCACATTCATGCTTCTCAGTATATGCTTTTTTCCCTATAATACTTTCAACGTCCCCCCCCCCCAAAAGATTAAGATGCACTCAGTTCATGGCAGGCAGAAATCTACCACAGTGCCTTAACCACAGTATCTGTTCCATATAATTTTGTTGTTCACAGGAATCCTTAACTAACCTAGTACTTTTAAAAGGAAATCAAAGGGCTAGGCATCTGTAGTACAGTGGTTACCCACATGCTCTGGGCCAAGCCTGCTAAACAAACAAACAAAAAAGCCTGGCATTGTAGTCCTAGCTACTCAGGAGGCTGAGGCAAGAGAATCAGCTTGAGTCCAAGAGTTTGAGGTTGCTGTGAGGTATGATGACATCGTACTCTACCAAGGGTGAGAAAGTGAAAGACTCTGTCTCAATAATAATAATAATAATAAATAAAAAGAAATCAAAGGCCAGGCACAGTGGCTCATGCAGGTGGAGACCAGTCTGAGCAAGAGTGAGTGAAACTCATTTAAAAATGGAAAAACTAGATGGGTTTTGTGTCCAGCACCTGTAGACTGACCCAGTTACTGGAGAGGTTGAGGCAAAAGGAGCTCTGGAGCCCAAGAGTTTCAGATTGCTGTGAGCTATTAAAAAAAAAAAAATTAAAGGAAATTTTTAAAAGTACAAAATGAAACTAGGCTGGTTTGTTTCTTGCAAATATATTGTTTGACAATAAGAATACATGATGTTCAGGCATCGCCTGTGGCTCAGTGGGTAGATTGCTGGCACCATATACCGGCCCTGGCCAAACTGCAACAAAAAAATAGCTGGGCATTGTGGTAGGCGCCTGTAGTCCCAGCTACTCAGGATGAGGGAACAGAATCACTTAAGCCCAGGAGTTGGAGGTTGCTGTGAGCTGTGATGCCACGGCACTCTACTGAGGGCGATAAAGTGAGACAGAAAAAAAAGAATACATGATTTTCCATTTCTCTAATTAGAAGACACATTAAGACACATTAAGAATTTTATTTTTTAATAACTGAACATACATTATTTTAAATAAAAACAATCAAGGAGAAATAATACCATTTGCTCAGAGAACATAAAGAAACATACTTTAGAAGTGAACAGATACAACCACAGGTTAATATCAAATGCATAAATTTTAGATTATTAACACATGCTTGGAAATAATTTCATTTCACATATATGGGGTCCAACCAAGGTACATTTGGCATAGTAAGTTTTCATCAGTAGCTTCTTGTATAAGGTAATGCACATGTCCTTCAATAGATAACGGCAGCCCTGTCACTCTATTTCGGGTCTTGATGATACCTTGTAGTCGCTGCTCAATGTCAAGAACATGGGTCTTGGCCTAAAAGGAAACAGAAAATCATTGGGGCTAAGGACCTAATAACATGTGGATGTTGATAATTTGGAATAACTACCTTTCTTGATATTCTGATATTTAATAGATGTTAACACCATTTTACTGACAATACCCCTTTTGTAAGAGCAAATACAGAAAAGGAAGACATGCAAGAAATACAGTAATGTACAATAATGATTTTGAGGCTTACAATGTTGATTCAACATTGACTGCTTAGACATATATCTGGGCTAGATAAAATAACAGGGAATTCTTTCTATGTTACAATTCTAAGAAAAAAAACTTAGAAATCTGCTTTGAAAGTGCTTAGGACTTAAATATTTGAATAAGTATCCTAACAATAATGCTCTAATGCCTAATATTTACATTATGTTAATATATGTAAATGAGAGTTCTAAGTGAGCTGCTTGAAATTTTACACCTTTCATTCTTTTTTTTTTAAGGGTAGGGGGGAACTTGGGTCTCACTTTGTTGCCAAGGGTGGAGTGCAGAGGCACAATCACAGGTCACTGCAGCCTTTATTCTTGGACTCAAGTAATCCTCCCACTTTAGCTTCCCAAGTAGCTGGGACTATAAGCATGACACCATGTCTGGCCAATTTTTAAAATTTCTTGTAGAGAACAGAAATTCTCTACTGTTTGTTGCCTAGGTTTGTTGCCTAATCTCAAGCAATCCTCCCACCTTGGCCTCCTAAGGTACTAGGATTTTAGGCATGAGGCACTGAGCCTAGCTCAAATTTCTTTCTTTTTTTTTTTTTCCGAGATAAGAGTCTTGTTTTGTTGCTTAAGTAGAGTGCAGTGACATCACAGTAGCTTACTGCAACCCCAAACTCCTGAGTTCAAGGCATCCTCCTGCCTCAGCTTCCTGAGTAGCATGTTCTATGATGCCCAACTAATTTTTCTATTCTTAGTAGAGATGGGGGTCTTGCTTTTGCCCAGGCTAGTCTTAAACTCATTATCTCAAGTGATCCCACCACCTTGGCTTCCCACATGCTAGGTGTGAGCCACCCAGCCCAGCCATACATTTCTTTCTTAAGAAAGCATATCAGAATGCAAAAGTGAGAATTACTAGAAAAATAATCTTCAACTTACTCTAACTTATTAAAAAATAACTATCTCTGGGCTTGGCACCCATAGCTCAGTGGTTAGGGTGCCGGCCATATATACCAGGGCTAGCGGGTTCAAACCTGGCCAGGGCTTGCTATACAACAAAAGAAAAAATAGCTGGGCATTGTGCTTGTAGATCTAGCTATTTGGGAGGCTGAGGCAAGAGAACTGCTTAAGCCCAAGAGTTTGAGGTTGCTGTGAGCTGTGACGACACAGTACTCTACTGAGGGTGACATAATGAGACGCTATTTCAAAAAAAAAAAATCTCTAGCAGAGTGCCTATAGCTCAGTGGTTAGGGTGCCAGCCACATGGTAATGGGTTCAAACTTGGCCCAGGCCTGCTAAACAAACAAACAAACAAAAAAATAGTCAGGCATTGTGGTGGGCGCTTGTAGTACCAGCTACTCGGGAGGCTGAGGCAAGAGAATTGCTTGAGTCCAAGAGTTTGAGGTTGCTGTGAGCTATGATGGCATAGCACCTACTGAGGGTGACAAAATAAGACTCATCTCAATAAGAAAAATAATAACTATGTGCAAGCTTTGAGAATAATTTTAGTAAAATTTTAGTAATTTTACAACTGATTTTAGTAAATGAAGTGCTGCACTTGTCCAGATGATTTTGGGCCAGGTGTAAGTGGGCTCACCCCAGCAATCCTGGCACTCTGGAAGGCTGAGGCAGGTAGATTGATTGAGCCTAAGAGTTTGAGAACAGCCTGAGTAACAGGAAGACCCCATCTCTACTAAAAAAATAGAAAAACTAGCCAGGCATTGTGGTGCATGCCTGTAGTTCCAGCTTCTCAGGAGGCAGGGGCAAGAGGATAGCTTGAGCCCAAGAGTTTGAGGTTGCTGTGAACTATGACACCATAGCACTCTACTTAGGGTGACAGAGTGACACACTGTCTCAAACAAACAAAATAACACATATATGTACATATGATTGTGGCACACTGGTATGACATTTGAGCTCATACCTGCTGCTCTGTCAGTTTATATAATTTGTGGTTATGTTTTTCCCACTGTATCTCATAATTATGAACTACCTATGGTTAAACAAGTATGCCTTGAACTCTGTTTTATTATACAAATGCTAATAATGTTAACATTAGTAATGATGATGAAGAAAATTTATGGCATTGTCATGCTAGAGAACTAGATTTCAGAGTAAATAATAGTCACAATATTTAGAATCAGTTCTCATTTGTTGAGATGAGAACTACAAGCCACACCTTTTATCAAGCCACACCTTATACTAACCTTTTCATTGACAACTTCCCCAGTTTCATTCAGTTGCGCTTTGGAATGCCCTTTCACTGGTTTACTCCACTCCACAAGAGGATCATGCAGAAAAGTCTTTAAGACGCTAAAATTGACACAAGTATGGTAATATGTGTAGTACAATGTTATCTTTGCACAAAGAAATCTGGCTAACATCAATACTTAAGAATAAGTGAAGAAATACAAAATACATTACCACCTTTTCAAAAAGATATATGAAATCATTGTTTTGATGTGAAGGGAGGGTAAAGGAAAGACAGGGAGAGAAAAGGCAAAACAGAAGTCAGAGGCGTTTTGGAGAATAAAGTAATAAATTCTGTGTGCCCTCTAAATGAATACTGTGAACTGGTAAATGAATATTTATTGAATTAACGAATTTTACCTCTGGCTGTATCTTCAATAACCATATAATACCTATAGCTACCATATAGACCCTGGCTAGACATTTTCCTGTGCTCTAAACATCAAATCCAATTATCTATT